CCCCCCACACCCACCCCCACACACACACACACACACACACTCGGGCGCGACGCCGAGTTTCTTTTGGCAGCTCCTGCAGGAGGGAGAAGGGAGAAGTGCCTCCGGATCCTGCCCCTCTGCCTCCTGCGGCCGCTCACCCTCCTCCTCCCCTGACCCAGGTACTTCCCTGGAATCGCGTTTCAGCTATTAAATTATAACTCAGGAGTAGCCAGTGACGGGCAGGGGGTGCACCGGAAGGATCGCACATGGACCTTTAAGGACACAGATGCGCTGGGACAGGCACGGTGTTGCCCACTGGCGGGGACTGCGCAGACGGTAGGGTGCAGAAGTCTCGCCAGAGGACGTGGACAGGCTGAACCCTGCCAGATGGGAGATCTAGCCCAGGTGACTCCCTGCGAAACTCACGACAGCCACAGACCTGTGCAGATGCTGGGACCTAGCCCCCAGGACAAGGTCACGCCTGGATAAGCTCTGGGGCACACTCCAGAGATCGGAACACAGGGCAGGCGCACTTGTCCAGAACGTCCGCTGCACGAGGGCAAAGGTTCTGGCTACTCCTACACCGTCCTGTCGCAGCAGTAATGTGCGTTGGGTGAACACCCCCTTGGGGACATTCAGGGACACAGATGCACACGCGATGCCACACGCCTGTGGTCCCCATACGCAGATGGGGCGGGAAGCATGCCCAAGGCAGCCGCACACACCCAGGCTACACGAGCCAGACGAGCACACATGCACACTCACCCATGCACACGCAGACACTCACAGTTCTGCAGAGCCCTGGCCCACTGGCTGGCCTGGCAGCACGTGTCCTCGGCGTCCCCTCCACGGCAGCCCAGAGGACCCAGGAGATCTTCCCAAACAGCAGAGGGTCCTGGGAGCCCCAGCCTGAAGCCGGCCTCCCTCCTTCCTCTTCTGCTCTCTCCTAAGATGTTGGAGAGTTTGAATTTTTTTCAGTTCAACTTTCCTTTTTTGGAGTGACGTCTCAGCAGATTCTGTTCTGCCATCTGCCAACATCTGAAAACCCCCAGGGAGAGTGCGGAGTGGCTGCAGCGAGGGCGAGGCAGCGGTTTCCAGGGCCAGGCGGCCTCCACCTCCTGCCAGAGTCCTGGGGGTGCCTCCCCTGCAGCGAAGACCTCTGCCCCTCCGCTTTTAGTTTCTGAGGGTTTTTCAGGGGAGCGGGCAGAACCTAGAAAGGGGAAGTGCGTGCAGGGGTGGGGGAGCGGTGTGCAGTTTGGAACAGGAGGAGGTCACAGTCAACAGCCCCACCCCACTCAACCTGCCCCCCCCCATCCAGGGCAGCCCCTCAGAAGGGAATCCACATGGAGAGCCAGACTGTGGAAGGGAGGGCTGCCCCTCCAGGGGTTTGGGCCAGCCCCACCCTGCCCTCAGCACCCCCTGCAGTCAACAACCTGAGAACACGCCCAGGGATTTGCATTCCATGAGAGTCAGCTCTGGGATTTGGTGCTGGGCAAGAACACTTGGGGTGTCTTCTGAGAGTCCCTAACCCTGCTTCTGCCTCCAGAGGGCTCCCTCTGGCATGGGAGGAGGTCAGCAGGCAAGGGGCTGTCAGTCATGTAACGTCCCAGAGGCCACTGGACCCCCTCGCGGGGAGCCAAGTCGCGTCACCCAGGCCTCTGTACCACGGAGTCATGGGGGCCAGGAGGAAAGAGGTGCCCCTCGGAGGAGGAGGGGGCTCTGCCCTCCTTCTGCCCACACCTGCTCAGGGCTATAAAATGGGGTTACTAGGCCCATGCTCCGCCAGGCGGCAGGGAACCACACAGCTGACTGAGGAGCACTCAGGTCTTCCCGGAACTGTCCTTAGCAGCCTGGTATTGACCGCAGCACAGACGGGGACACTGGGGCTCAGTGTAGCTGGCCGGACTTGGACTCCCTCAGCTAGCGACTCCACACTGGTGCTCCACACCCCAGCTCAGAGGGGATGAGTGGAAGCGGTGGCAGCTCACCCCTGCCCACACCCCAGGCCCCCCACACTGGCACCCCAATTGCTCCTGTTCACAGCACAGAACTCCGCTTACTCCTGCGCATACAGTGGCAGCAGCCCGGTGGAGTATACCTAAAAAGAATAGCCGCTCTGCAAGATTGCCTTCGGATGGACGGCCGGGGCTGGGGGGGGGGCGCCAAGCCCTGGATCGACAGTAATAATAACAGCTAAGAACTTCCCAGCACCCCAGTTGGCCCTGTAAGGGGAGACTGAGTTAAGGAGGTCACCCAAGGACATGGGAGCAAAGTGGCAGGTCCAATGGGAGAGAAGAGCCAGAGGCTCCGGCCCACCTGCCATCAAACTCCGCCTTCAGTCACTCCTGCCTTAACACTTGCAAGCCAGTCAAGCCTGTCTGCTTCAGGGCCTTTGCACCCCCTCTGCCTGAGACAGCTCTCTCCTGCCTACAGGTCCCAGCTTAACGCCACCTCCTCAGCCCTCACTGACCCTTTGTCTAGGGGCCTGGCTAACTCAACTCCCTGTTCATTTTCTCCACCACTGACTGCCACCTGAAATCATCTTGGGCCCCTATTTGTCACCTGCATAGCGTCTTGTGCTACCATGACAGCGGAGGCCTGTCTGTGTCGTTTCCCCTGCACACAGTAGGCCTTCAGTTAATATGATGCAAGTGAGTGAGCAGTGACTGAATGAGGCCTGCAGCAGAGGGAAAGGAGGCCGGCCAGAGGTCACAGGGCACAAGGATGACCACATACCCTGCCTCCCAGCCCATGCTCCCTGGGCAGATTTCAGGGTCAACACTTCCGGCAGGTGGACACTCCCCGGCATGTGCCTGAAACGCAAGTTCACCTGGACAAGCACGAGGTCAGCTCAAACTCACGGTCACTCCTAGGCCTGCTCCAAAATAATGCCCCCCCCCACCCCGGGCGGGCCTGGAGACAAGGCATGCAGAAGACCAGAACTCACACTGAGGGGCCTGGAGCCAGAGTGGCCCTGATCCTGACCCCCTAAGAGCCCGACCCTGGGAGCTAGTGCATCGGGCTGGAGGAGCCACCCTGGGGCTGAGCCTCCCTGGGGCCGAGCCTCCCTGGGGCTGAGAGCAAGCCCTCAGAACCCCACCACTGCAGGGAGATCTTACAAGTCCCTCTCATACAGCTGGTGGCTTTAAACAGAGGTTACAAATTCAAAAGCCCATGGGGCCTAGCAGGAACACCCAGCCTGGGCTGGAGGAGGGGTGAGTCACAGAGTCGGGGAGGGCCTGCATCCCATGGCCGCCCTGAGAGGATCAGTCACCTTTTTCTTTGTAATTGCCGAAGGGTGAGTGTTCACTGCAGAGGCAGGCCCAGGATGGCCTATCCAGCAAGGGGAAGGCAACAGAAGGCACCCTCCCAGCGGGCGTCCCGCCACGCTCCCTTCTCCCCTCTGTCCCGCCCCCCCACTTCTCCAGCCAGACGGAAACCAGGGCACGCACAGACGCCCAGCATGCTCTCCAGCCACAAGCCTCTGATGCAAACCACAGTTGGAAGTGGGATGTGGTTTCCTTTAACTGCTAGGCTATGTACGGGCAGCCCTGTCACCCCGCTCTGAAACACAAGCCTGGCCAAACTAAACACTGACTGTCGGGGCAGGGGGCTGTGTGTGACCCCTGAAGCTAAAACGCAGGGATGGGGCTGAGGCAGGGGGTCAGACACTCTATGGGGGAGGAGGACCCTCTTTCGGAAGCGTGAACAGGAGGGAAAGCCTGGTCAATGACTGCGTCCCAGCTATACCTATTCAGTGCACCGTTCGTAAGCACCTACTGTGTGCTGCGCACGTGGGATGGAGCAGCGAAAGCATCCAGGCCCGCTCTCAGGAGTGGCGGGGGACAGAAGCGTGCCAGGGAAGCCTCTCTCAGACATGGGCTCTCGAACCAGGCCTTAGTAAGGAAATGTCGCAGTGTTCAAAGACTTTTGAATGTCGGGACACAGGCCGTTTGCAGAGAAAGGGATTTCCCAAGCCCCCCTTTTCCCAGGTCAGGCGTCCAGGGCCCCTTCCATCCTCACGGGGTGCTAAGAGCATCCCTCAGAGCCCTAGCCTGCCCAACCCTGCAGCAAGAAACTGCAGTGTCACGGCCCCCTCCGGAGTCTGGGCCTTTATTTATGGCACCATTTGCATTCTCCAAAAAGAATGAGGTAGGGAACAAAACCCAGTCCCTGTCTCAGGCCTGAGGACCTTGAGGAGCAATGTCTTACTCTGGGCTGCCTCTCCGGGTGCTGGGCCGCCATGGGCATCCACTTGAACGTTTGCTGCGGGCCCCCGGGGACGGGGGCACAGAAATGCACTGTAAAGGGGAGGCCTGGCACAAGGACAGCCCCTCAGTCCTACTCGCTGTGGCCAGAGGCCCCGAGCGGCTGTGTGTGGGGCAGGCTGCGCGGGCCTGGCCGACCCTCTGTGCAGACAAGCGAGCCCAGGCCGTGCAATCCACTGAGGCAGATGGTCAGGGCAGGTCCCGTGGTGCAGCAGCCCAGAGCTAGGCGCGCAGTGTGTGTCTGGGGGGTGCTCCTCTGTGCTGTCTCTGCCGGATACTTCCGTAGGGTGTCCCCTAATCCAGGAGCGCTGCTGCCTCCCAGGCGCCAGGCGGGGGCATCTATAGCAACCACCGAGACAGCACAGCGTCTGCCTTCACGCAGCTGCGCTGAGCGGAGAGGCCACTTGAAACTAAATGAATCAGCACAGCACACGCCGGGCAAGGTGGTCGTGCTTGGGAAAAAGAATTCAGGAAAGGAAGATGGCGTGTAGAGACATGCAGAGACAGAGCAGAACAGGCCGAGAGACGGCCAGTGTCAGGGCCCTGGGGCAGGAGCACGGCTTATTCCAGGGACAGCGAGAAATTGGGCGGGGCAGGCGAGACCAGCCGGGGAGCCCAGGTCAGGTCACCTGGGTTCTGGTAGTCGGGCAGTGGGTGGCTTGCTTTGACCGCATCCCATGTGGAGTGCTTAAAGACGTGTGATGAAAACGCCTCTTATCCCCCAGCTGGGCCATCTGGCTGTGGACATCCCTGTGTGCACTTCCGCAGTTCCGCCATCCGAGGAGTTCTCCCTCCCTGCATCTTTGCACCACATTTGCGTTTAGAAGCCTTCCTGAGTACGTCAGGAACTAGCCCCTGGGTGGCCTGGCCGCCTGGGAAGCCCGCGAAAGCCTTCCTTCCCAGGACAGCAGCCTGCCAGATGGACGCGCAGATGGTTCAAGAGCCCGGCTCTGCGTCGGCGTTGGCAGCACACCGGATCTGAGGCAGCCCTGCCTCCCAAGCAGCGTGTGTGGGGCCAGGGCTCTGGCCCCAGAAAAGGGAGAGCAGCACCCCGAGCCGCAGGCTGCAGCAGGACCCCTGCTCCCGGAGCCAAGCTGTGTGTCCCTCCAGGTCCCCTCGGCTGCTGTCTGACGGGCTGGCAATCACTCTTATTTTTAAAAATCGGTGCACAGGTCCCTGGCTCAGAAGGGCCCTCCAGGCCTCACCGGAGCCCTCAGGAGGCTGAAAGCCTAACTCGGTGTGTGCAAAGTTTACAGGGCTCTGAGGCTGGGGCGGGCCTCTCTGACAAGGGGGAAGCAAAGGACCACGGTTTGCACCAGATGGGCTGGGGTTCAACTCCCGCTTAACACTGTGACTTCAGTGTGGGTGTCCCCTCTGTGGTATCGCAGGGTGCTAAGTGGAAAACACAATTCCTCCCACAGTACCCCAGGGCAGGGCCTCAGGTGTGATGGCGCAGTTGGGGTGAGGCCCATGACCGGGTTCTGGTGGCTTCATACACACAGAGAGTGAGACCCAAATAAGACAGAGGCTCCGGGACGGCCACTCTGCCCGGGTTCCCACACTCCGCCATGCCGGAGGCTTGCCAGCACTCGGCCCTGGACCCTGGACTCCAAACTGCCTGAGAACACCTGACTTCTTCACAGAACCACCCGGTCTCCAGTCCTCCTCTCAGCAATGCCCGGACGGGGCCGGCGTGTTCCAGAGAGCAGGGTCAGCCTGGCAGTGAGGAAGCTGCTCCAGCCTCATCCGTACAACGGCCTGGCCCTCCTCGGCACATGGCTAGCTGCATAGACAAGAGAGCAGGAAGCTGCGACAGTGTGGTGTCAGTTCCGCTGCTAAGGTTAGAGGGGACTGCAGAGGGG